GCTCCCAGAGGGGGTCCTAGGTCTTGCGGAGGGGCAAGTTTCAGTCCAAGCAGGTCCTCTGAGGTCCCCGGGTGCCACCTTAACCCCTGCGATGCTCTGCTCTCCGCTCCTTGGAGCAGAAAGGGATCTTCTGGAAGAGGAGCGGGAACTGGGCAGCGCTGCACCCCAGCGGGAACTTTCAGACAGCACGCCTTTCTACCTGCCTCACCCTTCCCGACCGTGGGCGAGGTGGGAGGGTCTCCTACCTGGGGTCTGTCTTCAGCCCAGAGAGTGGGAAGGGATTGAGGTGGGGCAGACAGGAGCAGGGGCCGCCAGGGCAGGAGAGGCAAGGCTGGCTGGCTCTGAGCCTCCCTGGGCCTCCCCGCGACAGAGCCATTTCCTTCCTTCAGAGGTGAATGACAGCTGTCAGCCTGCCCTGGGACGTGGGGCTGGGACTTGGTGCTCTGGGGGAAGGGGCTTTAGGGTGGCCCTGCACTCGGTTGGAGCCTCCTCCACCCCTGCCTGCTTCCCACCTAGGGCCTTTGGTGCTCTGAGGTGGTGGTTATGAAGGCCCAGGCCCAGCCACAGGGACCTGGGGAGGCATTGACCTTCAGGGTGCCGAGGGGTTCCCAGAACAGCTGTGCACCTTCTCAGCCACTGGCTCTGATCCGATTAATCCCATGGCCTCTGCTGTTCCTATCGGAGCTGAACGTCTCCATGCCACGTCTGCCCCCTTTGCCAGTGCCAAGGGGACAGTTCTGCCCCTGCCCTGCCCTGGGCTGGGAGTCAGGACTCTGGCACTATCTTCCCGCTGACTCACCTCCACAGCCAAGCCCTAGCGTACCTCAGTTTCCCTCTGTCACAAGGCCGAGGCTCCGTCTTTTCTCTTGGCCTGAGGGGGGTGGGTGGGTGAAGAAGCTGTAAGCCATGAGCAGGGGCTCCGCTCTGGCTGGGAGTGCCAGGGTTGGAGCTGATCCCCGAAAACCTCAAAGCACCAGGCTCCACCCTGTTGCCGCTGCCACACAGGAAGCCACCTGCTAGCCCTCCTGATCAGGGCTGGCTGGTGTAACCCGCAGATCAGAGCTCACCTTGGTCACCAAGGGCCATTCGACTCCCTTCCTCCAAAAAGACCTGGTTCTGCCATGGGACCAGACCAGATAGGAGAGAGCTGGCCACGGTCTCAGGAGTCGCCCCACCTCCCACCTGCAGGCACCCCGGTGCTTACAGAGCCATTTGCAAAGGGCTGGTGGCTCCCATTGGCAGCTCCATGCGGGCCAGGCCTAGCTCAAGGTCAGCCGGCATGTGGGTGCTAGGGTCCTCAGTCTGGACTGGAGGGAGCAGGGACTGGCTGGGCTGAGCTGCCGTGGGAGGGCCAAGGGTGGTGTGCTGTGGGGTCTCTGGGTCAAGCCAGTGTGGCCAGGCTGGGGGAGGGGCTGTTTGTTGTTGCTAGGCCTGGGCCCTGGCCAGGGCAAACACAGCTCGCAGGCCTTTCCCGCCACCTGCCGAATCTCCCGGCCCAGCCTGTGGTGGCCGGACAGCTGGGCAGCTGGAATGGAGCTCTAACTCTGCCCGGCTCCTTCTCCCGGAGGCCAGAGGGAATGTCAGTCCACACAACCGCAGTGGTGGAGCAGCCTCCGGGGAGGGAGGGGAGCTTCAGTTCAGGCCCCAGTGCAGCGCGCCTGCACCCGCATCTCTGCAAACTGAAACGGAGTTTGGCCCAAGAGACGGCCAGATCTGGGGCCCAGTTAGGTCCCGGAATTGCTTGTCTCCTTCCGGGGTCCCGGCAACCTTTACTCTCCTCCTCTCTCTGGACATGAACCCCGTCTCCAGCAAGGCGCCCCTTCTCCCCATGCTGCTGCCCAGGCTGGCACACCATCCCCAAACAGTGGTGCCCTTTCCAACAGTGGAGCCCCGTCTGTACCTCCAGCCTCCTTCTTCCCAGAGCCCAGCATCTATAACCACAGACTCCGGGGAATCTGCAGCCCCTGTCTCCGCGCCCAGCTGGCCACCTCCCCGCTCCCTGGCTGGCCGCACACACCTAACACGCCAGCCTTTGTACTCCTGCGCCTCTGCCCTTGTGTTCCCGGGGCACCCACCCTGTCCCACCTGCTTGATAGACGCCTACTCATCCTGCAGCACTCAAACGGGAGACTGGCCCTGCGAACCCTGCCCGAGTCACAGAGAAGAGCCGGCTGCTTCAGCACTTGCTGTGGCCGCTCTGGCTACCCCACCACAGGGGCTCCAGTGCTGCCTGTCAGTGGCCTGGGGGGGGGAGGTTCCGCCACGCCGCGGGGCCTGGGGCGAAAAA